ACAGCGGAAAGCAGCCTCCCAGGCTGGAGCTGTTGACCTTAGTTCTCCCATGATGATGTCACATCCTTGCAAAGCCAGTAGGAAAAATCAGATGCAAGAAAGAAGGTGCTTTTATTAATGTACGTGATAAGGATACAGCACTATAAGAGATCTATTGGTATAGTTTATCAGCAAAAAAAAAGGGAAAAGTTTATTAATGGTTAAGTCGTCTTTTAATGAGCGACCTTCATCTGGTTGAACTGTTTTAACCTGCATACTGTTGGCTTCAGCTCATATTTGATATCTCATATGTTATTTATTTTTTCAGATTGTGCAGCTGCAGGTTGTCAAAGATCAGCTGTGGTTATCTGAGCTCAGCTCTGAAGTCCAATCCCTCCCATCTGACAGAACTGGACCTGCTAGGAAATAACCTGAATAAGGCCGATGTTAAGCAGCTGGAAGATCTTGTAACACGTCCAGACTACAAACTGGACACTCTGTGAGTGGATGTTTAAAGTGGTTATAGTTTCTGTCAGCAGTAATAGGTTCAGTTGGCTACCTAACCAAGATCCATTGTTTCCAGTAAAGCTGAAGCTTCTCAGTTAGAGGGCAATGGTGACAGGCTTCCTGATGGACTGAGGTGAAATCTGCAGAAAGGAAACAAACATGTTGCCAAAAGTGTGCACCGTTCTGCAAGTTTACAGCTCAAAGGAGGCTGCCACAGCTGCCCTGAACATCAGCATCACATTTATTGACTAGTAGGTTTACACTTACAAGGAATTTGACTTGGTGATGATGTTGATATATTTATATCAACATCATCACTGGGCCTTGTTGATAAGGCTGGTAGCGGATGGGAAGAAACTGTTCTTTTAGTGTGAGGTTTTGGTCCTGATGGATCACAGCCTCCTGCCAGAGGGAACTGACTGAAAAAGTTTGTGGCTGGGGCTCGAGGGATCAGCCGCAATCTTTCCTGCATGCCTCAGAGTCCTGGAGGCGCACACATCCTGGAGAGATGGAAGATTGCAGACAATCACCTTCTCTGCAGACTGGATGACACGCTGCAGTCTGCCCTTTTCCATAGTGGTGGCACCAGTGTGCACATTACGGAAGTCCCTGCTTCTCTTTATTTTTGATGTGCTCCATCACTAACTTCAGCTATTAAGTCATATCTGAAACACTCATGCATCTTCTCTGTTGCTCCTTTTCTCTGCAGGTGGTGGTGGTGGGTGACTCTCTAGAGACAAGAAGATGTAAGCTGTCCTGATGATTCACAGGAGTTGAAGCAGCAGCAGCTAAAGTTAATGGAGACTCTGACTGGATCATGATGATGAACTCTAATTTTAGAGAACTTATTCCTATTTCTTTATGTCTATAAAGTTGTGTGTGATATTGTAGCTAAAAAAGAAAATCTAATTAAAATTAACATGCATTTAATGGTAATTGGTATTTTTTTAAATCAGATTCTGATGAAGCCATATAGTTTATAGTTTTTCTCTCATTTATTTTAATCATGAGTTGTATGATCATGTTAAAATTCTGATGTTTTCAGGCTGAATGTTTATATAAGATGTTTTATGGGAATCTTTGCTCACTCTGTTTATCATTTTATCTGTTTCTGCTAAAAGCTCACTGTGTAAATGATACTTTCATTTACAGGATGAATGAACTTTAAACCAAATATTGCATTCCATCTTTCTGATTGTAAAACATAAAACTGAATAAAGATAAATTTTTGTGTCCTCAACTTTATCCTATAGTGAATATTGGAAATACTTTCTATAGTTGCTCAGGCATTTAGGTCTTCTATGGAGGATCTCCTCTGTACTTTGCAAAGTGAATGAATAGATGGTTTAAACCACTTTAACAATCTGTTCTAAATACCATACAGTGGATGAACAGGAGGACCCTTTCCTACAAGGCAATGACCCGGCGGAACCACCTCACCTGGCCAATACAACAACCTAATGAGCCCAGGAGTCTTCTCCTGTGTTGCAGTCAGTCGTAGCCCAGAGCTAAACAGAGATAGACCAACGCAAACCCTGCTAAATCCACCAGCCCAGTGATAACCAACGCAACTCCAGCATTCAATACACACTGGAGAGCCAATATTACAAAGAA